AAAAAGTAGAACTTTTTCTCTTCAAAATAACTAAAATATTTTCTTGTTTACAAAAAAATGGCAAGTTTTGTTAGTTTTTCTTTGTAAAAAGAAAAAAAAAGGCGGGTGTTTTTGGTGGACCTCATAAATTGAAGGGGTTAAATTGGGGTCTTGGGGAAAAAGAGTAACAAAAAGCCAATTAGCTAAAAAGGAGGACTAACAGTCGAGTTAAAATTGTCCCCATAAGTTTTATGCTCATTTCCATGCTTTCACTTTTCACGCCTAATAAATTGTCTTTAATTTTCTCATTATAAAATCAATAATAATTTATCCACTTTTAAAATAGTTTTCCCTCCAGTAAAATGAATTTTAATTTCTATATTTCTTTGAATTTGCCAAAGAAGAAAAAATGAAGACGAAGAAAAAGCAAAAAAAGCTTTAACAAATGCCTGAAGGAGCAATTGAAATATCTTTTTTTTACACTCTGTATTCCCTCTCTCATATCTTTCAAGTATACGCAATTTGCATACAGGATTTAAATTCTATGCACAAGCAATTCCACTTGACTTATTTGTCAGGAATGCACCTGCTGCTTTATGTGCGTTCAACTACTGGCATGAGGGACTTGGCAAAAATTTTTGCGCGAAAAAAAAAACACAGAAACAGAAATGAAGAAACACAGAAAAGAAAAACAGTTGCAGGTATACATAGAGGCCTTTTATTATACTATTGATTCTTGAACGCGGCGCGCGAGTTCGAAATAATGTTTTTACTGTAAGATAATAAATCGAAGGTGCTTTGTACGCGTGAATAGATGTGGATTTCCCGCAGTCACGTGTGAAAGTAACTTAGGAATCCAGCCAGTCCCCTGACCTTTGATGTTGATTTTGTTGGCACACGGTGCATGTCGTCTGTGAACTGTATATATATATACAATATACATATATAATGCCGATGGCTTGTCGCCACTTTGCGAGCTTAGAGAGGCCGAGACCTTCCTCCCAATGCAATGTGGGAGTTTAATCGGCACACTGACCAAGTGACGGACATTGCTTCGCGAGACAGTGCATTGTCTCCCGGTGAAATTCTCACTTAACAAAACAACAACTATACACGCACTAAAAGTCCTTGTGCAATTTCCGTAAAGATATCTTAATTTTGATAGGGGGGTATAATGGGGTCAAACAGTGGACTTTCTTTCAAAAAAACATTCATTTCCACTTAAAAAAATAAATACTAAATTAACCAAAGAAAATATACAAATGAGAAGTTTCTAATTGCTTTTATCACCACTCAACAGTGAATATTAAATAATCACTTAAAATTGTTTCTCGCTTATTTCGATCCAAAAGAAATTCTTTACATAAAATTTGTGTTTATTTCAGTGTGTACGTTTTAGAAAAGTGTTAAAATTTTAATTGTAAATCTGACAAAATTTAATTATTTTTAGATGCATCTCTAATTTCTTTCTTTCTACGTTTTGAACGGTTTTGAAATTTATTCAAAAAACTTGGAACTAAAATTTTTCAATAAAATTATTCGAAACTCAATTTCTTAGTAAATAAATACAGTGGAACCTTGATTATCTGAACTAATTGGAACAGGACTGGTTTAGATAACCGAAAGTTCGGATAATAGAAATTGAAAATATTTTTATTTATAATTGTGGATAAATTATGATTTTCAAGTTATTTTACACAGTTCAATGACATTTATCTCCTTTTTGGGATATTTACAATAAAACTTAGAAGATGGTCAATAAAATTGCTTTATTTTTGTATCCATAAATGTAAAAAATTATATTTTGGGTTAGGGGAGCGTGGGGTAATGAGAGCTTGCGGGTAATGGGAGCTTTTAAATTTCACGTACTTAAAAGCCTTCAAATTCGCTGTAATGTCTAGAAAATCTTCTACAACCTTTGTTTATATCATTCCAAAACAAACGATCACATTCTTGACAAATTTTTAGTAAAAACAAGGGAAAATGTATTTTTTGAGTTTTCGTTGTAAAATGCAAAATATTTCTAAACATCACCATAAGTAGTTAAAATCGTATTATTTAGTTCTGTTTTTTCATTATATTATAGGTGAATATGTGTGGATATGTATACTTGTATAAAAATCAAGATAATAATAAAATTTGTTTATGTTTTTATTTTTTTATTCAAATTTTGTGCTGTAAAAATTCTGTGGGGTAATGGGAGAATTAGTGTCAGCCCAAAGAATTTTCTTTACTATGTTACGGCTTTCGTTATTTTTTTGAAAATTGTAAAAGATATCACCTTATGAACAAACTTTTAATTAAAAAATAATTTTTGGTGGAAAAAATGAAAAATTTAATTTTTTTTCAAAAATTTTGTATTAAATTATAATTTAGGAAAAAATTTATTCTGAGTCTAAAGTTTTGGCTTCATTGTAAGTATTAACACTTTTTTCTATTAGAAAACAAAAAATATTCCTAAAAAATAAAAATTTTTTAAATTTCAAGTGAAAGCTCCCAATACCCCACAAATTGGGTGATGGCAAAAAATGTATTTTTTTTTGAAAATTTTTTTTTTTCAATTTATTTTCTCTTTTTAAGTTTATAATTAAACATAATTAAAGATAAATAACGAAATGAGTAGAAAATGACGAAAACAATGTATTATTATAAAGATAAGTTGGTTTTTTTTTAAATTTTCCTTAAGGGGCTCCAATTCCCCCACGCTCCCCTAAAGTTGGTAAAAAAATTCTCATAATGAAAATTCGGATAAAATGATTTACAGTCCAGATAAAAGAGAGTTCGGATAATAGAGGTTGGGACAATCGAGGTTCCACTGTATCTAAATATTATTCATTATTACAGAGTAATTCAAATTTTCAAAAATTCCATTTTAAGGTGGTTCATCTAACAGAATGCAGACCTCTAGAAAAATAATATTGAATTTTTGCAATCATTTGTAACTTCTCCAAAATGCAGATTTTTTAGTGTTTTTAACTAAAATACTTCTATAAATCCATTATTTTTTGAAATAGTACAATTTTTCAAAAATCTAATTTCTTTAAAATTTCTAATTTAATTAATTCAAAATTGAAGTTTTATAAAGTTTCAAACTGTTGAAATTCATCTATTTATGAATGAAGTTATTTAATTAAAAATTATTATCAGAAGTAAAAAAAATTGAAGGTTTTGTGGTAATTTCATAGTTTATAAGACAAACAAAAAAACACAAAAATTCAGAATTTTCTTATGAATTCTAAAAATTTAATTTTTTCCAGTACTTTGTTTTTTGAAAAAAATTAGCCATAATATCTTAAAATTGAATCATTTTTAAAAAATTCTTTATAGAGATATAAATAATAAAAAATTTGGATCATATTCAAATTGAATAAACAAATAAATTTGGTATGTTTTAAATTTTTTCCGGAAACTTAATATTTCTTATTCTAGCAAATATTGTTAATAATAAAATTTTATTGTTTGAAATGTTAATTGATTTTGTTTAAAGGCTGCATTTCTTTACTCTCTAAATTTGAATTAGTTAAAAGTAACTAATTAGTAGTAAAATCGTTGCAGACTTTTTACTTTAGCAATTAGTAAAAAAAAACTAATCATTAGAGAAAAATTACTAATTATTAGTATAGAACATTAGTAATTATTAGTAAATAAATAACTACAAAATTAGTCGAATTTTACTAAATGAATTAGTTACTAAAAAATTCGTTATTTTGACCTAACCTGATAGTAAATTTAACTGATAATTAGTTATTAGTAACTATTTTATTAGTAAAATGACATTTTATTATCAAATTAGTTTTTTCTTAACTAATTCAAATTTAGAGAGCGAACATCATTAAAACCTTCTGAAATTTAATGATTTGTCAACTAAAATTCTTCCCTAAATCAATCCATTTCATTTTTTAGAAAATTCTACAAGAATTTAATTATCATAAAACTAATTCACTAGAAATGCGTCTAAAATTCAAAAATAGTTGTCAGAAATAAGAAAATTAAAAATGTTGTTTTGTGCCTGCAGGAGAATTAGTAATTCTCTACAAATTCTTTTTTTGTTTACCATAATTGTTCTGTGAACCTACACACTAGAATATTACCCTCTAAATATAAATGTGTAAATTTATAATTAGTCATTTCCTTTTTGCTACGAAGTATTTTACTATAATTCAAATGGTTTCTCCAAGAATTAAAGAGAAAATTTTTTACACAAAGAGCATCAAAAAGAAAATCTAATTCAACGACAAAGCAAATAAACAGATTATCCAAACACGTTTTTAACAAGATTTCAATTCTTTCTTCACAATTTTCTGAAGAATTTCTTTTGTCACGTTTGTGTGGTTTGTTTGCGGTTACATATTGATATATTCACGGTCTCTTCTCTCGATTATCCCTTTGAATTGATTTCCTAACGATCAGTGGCAAATAATTTTACTAAAAAGAAAAAATTCCCTTTTTCAAAGAAAAAAAATCTAATATAAATTCTCAATATTGAAATTCCAATAAAATACCAATTTTTTTATTTTCCCTTCACGTCCTACATTACCAATATTTCGAATTTTAGTTCTATCAATATTCAATTCTAAAAAATTGTAAATTTAGATTTCTTATTATCAACAAATACTTAAAATTTACAATTAAAAGTATAATTACTTCAAGAAGAATAATTCAATTTTACATTTGTAAAAATGATGTAAAATTACTCAACCTTAAATATTTGGAATTAAATAGCTCTCGAGGATATAAAATACAAAAAAGCCGCAGTTATATAACGATTAGAATTTCCTAGACAAAAATGCAATAGAGTCATTATAAAAAAAAAGCAAGTACTAATTGGAACTTAGTATCTATAATAGGAGTGAAAGCTTTCATATAAATATATATATTCAAGCTTGTTAGAAATTTCTGAATTTTTTCTCAAAAATAAAATTAAGATCTTGATGAGATTAAGATTTGGAAAGTATATGCGCATAACTTGATTATAAATATTATTTTTTTTATAATTGATTAATTAAAATTTTTCTTGGCAGGATGATGAACCGCCGGAAATCACCTACTGTGTTGTGGAGCAGACGGGCACACTCACGCTTCAAGCGATGACACCAACTTTGCCAATGCCAGCCGAAGAGGAATTGAACAAGATGTTTTTGGAGCTTGTTGATGAACTGGACCTAACCCAAGCAAACAGACAAGCCGTACTTGCACTTCCGGCAAATAAGAAGTGGCAGATCTACTGTTCCAGAAAGAGTAACGGCACCCTTGAAAACGGAGGAATGCGAACCACTGACCTCAGCGGTGATCCCGAAGATTACATCGAAAGAGTCAGAATTATAGCGAGTGTAAGTCATTGCAATTGAAATACTGATTTAATTAGAATTCATCAGTTGGACGTCTATTTATTTTGTAATTAGCTATGCTGTTTATGGCTAAAAGGAGCTTTGCTAAAAGTATATATTGACTAATTGTGCTATACAAATTGCTCTATGAACAAAATGCCAATGCCGCAAATTATACAGAAACTGCAGATTTTTATTATTTTTTTTAATAAAATAATTTACAAAAATTGTTGGGAGTAGAAAACGTCAAATTTAGTACAATCATCAAATAGGACATAAAGCTGAAACTGGCACCCAGTTGTCAGCACCTAATTAATTTTGGAAATTAAATATTTTTAATGAAGCTGCAACTTCCAACTAGCTAACAGGACCTACTTAATTTTTCAAAATTTTATGTTGTTTTTAAACAAAAAAATATTTACTCTAAAATTTTATTTCTAAAATTAAGTAGTTGCTGATAACTGGGGCCAGTTTCAGCTTTATATTTAGGATAATCCCAAAATAATTTTCCAAACAATTACATTTCTAGTGATAATAACTAGCAAATTAAAAAATTATTTAATTTATTTTAATTAATAAATAAAAAAATTAATTAATTAATAGATAAATCAATTAATTACAGGGTTGCCACAAAAATTTAATTTTGTTTTTCTCTGATTTCCAGACAAAAATTGACTTTTTTCCTAAAAATCTTTCAGATATTCAAAGATTTTAATTTGGACCCTTTTCACAATTCAATTATACAATACGATGAGTTTTATTATTTATGAAAGTAATTAAACTCCTAAAAAGAATTTTAATTTATTATTTTGGAAAAATATTGAATTCCTATAAAAAAAACTATGATTTATGAAAATAAATGAAAACCTATGAAAATTTTATTATTTATAAAAATAATTGAATGTTTGAGTAGAATTTCATTTACATTTTCTTTAAGTAATTAAATTCTTTTTGGAAATTTTATTAAAATAGTAGATTTTAAAAATAATTGAATTTCGAAGAAGAATTTTATTATTTATAAAAATAATTGAAATTTTGACCAGAATTTTTTTAAATTTTGTAAAATAATTGAAAGTTGGGGAAGAATTTAATATATTTAAATTAAATTCCTAAAAAGAGTTTTATTATTTTGGAAAATAATTGAATCACTGTGAAAAAAATTTATGATTTATGAAAATAAATGAATTCCAATGAAAATTTTATTATTTATAAAAATACTTGAATGTTTGAGTAGAATGTCATTAAAATTTTTATTTATTATTTTATTAAAATAGTAGATTTTAAAAATAATTGAATTTCGGAAAAGAATTTTATTATTTATAAAAATAATTGAAATTTTCACCAGAATTTTTTTAAATTTTGGAAAATAATTGAAGAAAGATAATTGAAATTTTGATGAGAATTTAAAAGAATTTTTGTACCTAATCGAATTTCTACGAAGAATTTTATTACTTTTGAAAAAAATTGAATTTCTGCAATCATTTGTGACTTCTTCAAAATTTAACTAATTTCAAAAGAATTTAAATTATTATAATTTTTTAAAAATCTAAGTTTTTTAAAATTTATTAGCAAATTTATTCAAAATTGGAATTTTATAAAATGATTTAGAATAAATTTAATAATTAGATGCACTAAATAATTTAGAAGGAATAATTTTATGATAATTTTTCAAGAATTAAGTTATTTAAAAAGAAATTATTGTCAGGAATAGAGAAAATTGAATGTTTTGTATTAGAATTCCTGGTAATTTCATAGTTTATGAAGCAATCAAAAAAGAGACAAAAATTCAGAATTTTCTTATGAATTCTAAAAATTAAATTTTTTTCCAGTGCTTTTAATAAAAATTTCCAACTTTACCTGACTTCCCTAACCTGTGGCAACCCTAAATTAATTAACTTATTAATAATAGATGGGTAGAAAATATTCATATTTCTACAATTAATTCTTGGAAGCATCTCTGAATTGGTAGCAATTGTGAAAAATTTATTTTTTATATATATAAGGCCAGTACACTATAGAAACTGTAAAATTTTTTATTGTTTCTTAAATTTTAAATTAAAAGAAATTCTAAAGTTTGAAAACATTTATTTTTCTATAATTAAATGCTAAGATATTCTTTAAGACAATTGTTTACTGAGAATTCTAATTATTTTATCGAGAATATAGTGTAGAAAAAGCAAATATCAAGCGATAATTATTCGGCTGAATTAAAATCGAAATTATAAAGAATTAAATAATAAGTTTAAGAAAATTTTCATTGTTCACTGATTCAATTTATTTTTTCACAGGCACCATTTCCAGAGGAAGGCGAAGAAATTTCAAATCAAATGCGACAAGTGGAAGCCCTAAAAACTGCCCTGAGAACTCAACCTCACAGTTTTGTTCTTAGATTCATAGAATTAGATGGTTTAAATTCACTCTTACAAGTTTTGGGAACAATGGACCCGGAAGCTGGAAACAGTAATCTTCATACTAGCGTAATAGGATGTCTAAAAGCCTTGATGAACAACTCGGTAAGGAGAAAAAATATCTTTGCAAATTTTGAATTTTCAAGAAATTCTTTCACCATTTTTTTTTAAATTTAATTCATTGTAAATTTAATAATTACCAAAAAACTTATAAAATTTCTCTCATTTCAGAATGGAAGAGCACACGTTTTAGCTCATCCAACAGCCATCAATACAATTTCCCAGTCGCTGGCGACTGAAAATATCAAGACAAAAATTGCAGTTCTCGAAATTCTCGGCGCTGTTTGTCTCGTACCTGGTGGTCATCGAAAAGTTCTCGAGGCAATGCTTCATTTTCAACAATATCACTCGGAGAGGGCAAGATTTCAAAGTATTATCAACGATTTGGACAAGAATTTTGGAATCTATAAAGATAATTTATCGCTGAAAACGGCAATAATGTCGTTTATCAATGCAGTGCTGAATTATGGTCCGGGACAAGTGACCTTAGAATTTCGATTACATCTAAGATACGAATTGCTGATGCTGGGAATTCAGCCAATTATTGAAAAACTTAGAAAATATGAAAATGAAACACTAGATAGGCATTTAGATTTTTTTGAAATGGTGAGAAATGAAGATGAAAAAGAATTGGCGAGAAAATTTGAAAAGGAGCATCTTGATACAAAAAGTGCCACTGCCATGTTTGATCTCTTGAGACGAAAATTGAGTCACACTGCTGCTTATCCTCATCTATTGAGTTTATTGGAGCATTGTATTCTACTACCTTGTGAGTATTTCAAAAATTGAATTATAGAAACTTGAATGAATTTTATTAATGCCGAGCGAAACTTGTTCAAACGTGTGCAATTGCGCACTCGTCTGTACTTGTCGTGTCGCTTCAACTTTCAATACAATTAAATAAAATATTATTAAATACACACTTATAAAAAACTCTAATAAAACTCTAATAAAAATTTGTATCTACTTTCAGTGGACTATGGTTCCTATCCACAGCATTGGCTCCTATTCGACAGAATAGTACAACAAATTGTTCTTCAATCGGAAGGAAGCGAAGCGGGTACCACGAGAAATCCCGATGTGGCCCCAATTGAAATTAACGTTAAGGAAATCGTTCACCTTCTCGCTAAAGAAGAGGAACTTGTCGCAGCACGAAAAAAAGCTGAGGAATTGGAGCGAGAAAATTCCGAAATGTCTTCAAGACTCGCGAAAAAAGAGCAGGAACTAGATATCAGAACACAGGAAAAAGTTAGTCTTTTAATTACTTTTTCCATTTTTACTTAAATCTATTTCTTTCAATTTCAATTTACTAAAAATTACCAATTTTTATTTTTTATACAATTTTTTTTTTAATTTCCCACAGTCAACATCAAATCATATATTCGTTAAAAAATTAGAATTAGAATTAGATTAACATTTTTTGTAATTGCATAAACAATTTCAAATGGATAAAAATTGTAAGAAATTGTAATGATGAAATTGAAGAAAATTTTAAATTATTAATAAGAAAGAAAGAAGGGTGAAAAATAAATATTTCTATTTAATTGTCTTCTATAGGAAGATATGGAGGCGAGTTTAGCGAGAGTTAAAGAGCGCCTAGAGAAGGAGACGTCAATGCATATCGAGACAAAGCAGAGAATTTCAGAATTACAGGATAGCATGGAAGCACTTTCGCGTCAAGTGAATAACGAAAAGTCTGAGAGGAAACGTCTGGAGCAGTTAGTCGCTTCCGGAAGTCTACCAGATGATGCCAAAGCAACAATAAAAATAGTCGAGGACGAAGTAATTCAAAAGGTTGAGGCGAAACCAACTCCACCCCCACCGCCTCCACCTCCTTTGGCACCACCACCTCCACCTTGTTTAATGCCCGCGGCACCTCCTCCAATGAAGGTACGAAATTCACCCTATTTTCTCTTCTAGTTCATTCAAATTTATTTATTTCTTTTTATTATATAGTAAAGATAATTAATTATTTAATACAATTATTATTATTACAGACCTCGGTAATAGTAATAATTACTACTATTAACTATTACAGACTTCGAGACGCAAAAAAGTCACGTTAATCGATTAAAAATTCAAAAAAAGACGAAAAAGTTGTTTATTTAAATCAGTGTTGTCACAAAAATTTTATTTTGTATTTCTCTGACTTTTCACTGATTTTCAAATTCAATTACTCAAAACTTGAGTAATTTTTTTAAAGAAATATTTAAGTACTTCTTATTTGTTTTTCCACAGGAAATAAAATTTTTTTAAATTTCAATTTAAAACTTTCTGAAATTTAAAAATTTTTAAAAATTGCAACTAGAATCCTTCCAAAATTATATTATTTATTATCATTATTGACTAAACTTCATCTCTAAATCAATTATTTTTAATAATTTTCCAAAAATTCTTCAAGAATTTAATTATTTAAATTCAAAAATTCATTTTTTTTATAATAATTGTAATTGTCCATATTTTTTTTAAGTTATTATAATATTTTCCAAAAATTATAATAAAAAAACTCTTAAAATTAATTTTTTAAAAATATTTTTAAAAAATTTTTGAAAGACAATATTTTTTCAAATATATACAATTAAAAAATTTCCAATCAATTGAAATTTGGTAAAATCTTTTAAAAGTAATTAAATTTTTTGAAAATATAAAAAAAAATCAAATTTTTGAAGAATTTTAATTATAAAAACGAACTTGATTTCTACAAAATTTTAATGAGTTTAAAAAAATAAATTTAACAAAATTTTAATATACTTTTTCAAAGATCTTCAAAAATCTTCAAAACTAATTAATTTTTTAATGAATTTTAATTAGAAATTTTGAACATTGATTGTTTTCTCCAAAATTTTAAAACTGATTCTAAAGAACTGTAATGTTATTATTCTTTGTATGTATTTCAAATTTCAAAAATATGTAATTGACAATATTGAAAATAATAGAATTTTAAAAAATTTAGAAAGAAAAAACTTCTAAGAATTACTTTTTTTTAAAATATTTTTATTTAATTTTTATTAATTTTCATTTATAAATTTACACTTTAAGATTTTTAATTAAAATTTTTGAGAATTCAATTATTTTCAAAATTTGCAATTCAAATTCTTCAAAACTTGATTTTCAAAAATTGTACTACAGTCAACTCTCGATAATTCACCTTTCGATGAATTGAATTTTCTTTAAATTGATTTTACTTTTTGGTTCATTAAAGAAATTTTGATACAGTTGACTCTCGATAAATTAAAGTTCAAAAGGAATAGAAAAAATTTTAATTATCAAGAGTTTTATTTATGGAATGTTTTAAGTATCAAAATTTCTTCAAGGAACCAGAAAGTAAATTCAATTTAAAAAAAAATTCAACTTATTGAAAGGTGAATTATCGAGAGTTGACTGTATTCTGTTGCAATATTTGGAAGAAAAGTCAAAAAAGTCTCAATTTTTGAAAATATGTCGAAAAGAGTCGCATTTTTTAAAAATAGTCGTAAAAAGTCGCTATATCCGAGGCCTGTTATAATTATATTATTTACTATGATGAATTAATTTATTAATTATTTATTTCTTTTCTTCAGGTGGGAATTGTCAAAAATGTTCCCCAACCCAGTAATCCTCTCAAGTCTTTTAATTGGTCCAAAATACCGGAGCAAAAATTACAGGGAACTATTTGGTCCGAATTAGATGATTCAAAACTCTATAATATCATGGATTTGGAATCGATTGATAAAATTTTCTGCGCATATCAAAAGAATGGTGTATCAACTGAGGGTTCCATTGAAGATTTACGAAATCTTGGGAAAAATAAAAAGACAATGTCAGTTATTGACTCGCGAAGAGCGCAAAATTGCACAATTCTATTGTCTAAATTGAAAATGTCTGATAACGAAATTACAAGGACCATTTTATCAATGGATCAGCAGAATATTTTGCATATTGATATGGTTGAACAATTGTTAAAATACATTCCATCGTCTGAAGAGGCTGCTCTTTTGGATATGAACCAAAAAGAACTGCAGAGCAGAGCCGATTGCTTCCTTTACCAAATATCAAAGTGAGTATCGTCAATTTGAAAAAATTATTATCCGAACTATTTTATTAATTGTATTTATTAATATTGTATTATTAATTAATATAATATACTAATATTTATATAATATACTAGACTGAAAAAAATTTATTCGATTCAAATACTGAAATTGATTCAAATACATTTTATTTGATTTAAATACAAAGTTTTTTAATTTAAGTAAATATTTATTTGACAAAAGACAAGTAATCGGTTATTTGAATCAAATTTTTTTCAGTTTAGTATATTATATAAATATTAGTATATTATATTAACAACTATAGAACATTTTCAATGTACATTAATAATAATTACTTCGCCTTCGGATATTGATTCTTGAATTAATAATACTTAAATTTCTGAATTTAAATCGAAAAGCTAATTTTCTCTAATTTATCCGATCAGAGTTCCACATTACGAGCAAAGGCTAAGATCGTTGCATTACAAAAAGAAGTTCTCCGCCAGCATATCGGAATTGACGCCAAGAATGCGAGCTGTACTTGAAGCGAGTCGACAAGTTGCAAGATCCCGGAGGCTGAGGAAAATCTTGGAACTCGTTTTGGCTTTAGGAAATTATGTAAATCGCGGAAATGCCCGAGGAAACGCTTGTGGCTTCAGATTATCTTCCTTGAATAGATTAGTTGATACTAAATCATCGTGTTCTAAAGGGACAACTCTACTTCACTATCTAGTACAAATGTTGGAGACCAGATTTAGAGAGGTATTGGATATCGAGGAAGATATGCCCCATGTGAGGACCGCTGCCCGTGTGAGCATGGCCGATCTTCAACGAGAAGTAGCTAATTTGAAAAATGGCTTGCAAGACGTACAGCGAGAAATTGGTGAATATTTATTTTATTTGCGAAAAGAAAAGGACTTTTTATAAGTTTAACATAAAAATAGTAACAATCTTGCCAAAAACTAGATGATTAATAATATTTGTAATATTATAAATTTGTCATATTGATAATATTTATAATATTTATAATTATATAATAGCCGATTAATCTTAGAAAAAACTAGATATATTGTGAATAATTTTCAAAAAGGATGACGCAAGATTTGAATTAGTTTTGGCTTCCAGTAGATTTTTTTTAACTTTTAGGATTTTTATGTTCTTGTACAAAATGTGAAGAACTACAAAATCCAAAAGTTAAAAAAAAGAATCTACTGGGACCCAAAACGAATTCAAACTTTTGCTTCGTCCTTTTACAAAATTTTTAATACTAAAAAAACAATGAGGAATGAATATTTACAAACTTTTATAAATTTGAAAAAGTCAAATTATTCTGTTTGTCATATTTAAGCATTACAAATTGTAAATAAATACTTTTATTTTAGAATTTCATCGCGGTCAATCACAAGTACTCCAGGGAGACATGTTTTTACCAGCAATGCGCGATTTTCAAGCTCAAGCTACCTGCAGACTTGCAGAAGCTGAGGATTTGTTCCAAGACATGAAAACAAGAGTAAGAAGACAAATTCCTTTTAAAATATTTTATTACTTGAATTTTATAGTCAAATATTTAAAAAATAATTCACTTTCTATGCAGAATTTATATTTTAATTTAATTTAAAAAATGTTAATAATTCTTATTAACTAGCAAATGTTACGCGGTATTTCGTTTATTATTATTTTCAAATTAAAAAATTTTATATTTTCAAATATAAACATCAGTTTTTGAATAATTTCAGATTCAAAATTTTTAAAAGTTCACTTAATAACAAATTAATTATTATTGTTTATTAATTTCAAAAAATTTAATAACATCTTTTGCAAGAATCCAATTATTCTCCTAAATAATAACATTCTTTGGAAGAATTCAATTATTTTTATAAATAGTAAAATTAATACTTTGCAGGAATTCAATTATTATCAAAACAATAACAAAATTTCACTAAAGGATTCAATTATTTTTAAAAATTTCTAATGAAATTTTTCGTAGAAATTTAATTATTTTCAAAACAATTTTAATAAAATTCTTCGCAAGAATTAAACTATTTTTATAAATAATAATAATAGTCTTCTCAAGGAATTTAATTATTTTAAATAGCATTTAAATAAAATTGTCGAACGGGTTCAATTATTTTTAAAAATTGTAATAAAATTCAATTATTATTCTCAAAAGTTTTGATAAAATTCTTTGTAAATTTAAATTATCTTCAAAACTTTCAATTAAATTTATAAAAATACTCCATTATTTTCAAAAAATTCTTCGAAGCTATTCAATTATTTTCAAAAACGTAATTTTCTAACTTTATCACTCGGTAGTCTTAATTATAAATAAAACTTTAATCAAATTCTTGCCAAGAATTAAATTTCTTTCAAAAATTTTAATAAAATTCTTTGGAAGAATTCAATTATTTTCATAAATAATAAAATTCTAAGCGACAATTCAATTATTTTCAATACAATTTTAATAAAATTTTTCGAAATAAAAACAGTCCAAACTGTGTAAATTTTATACACTAAAAAAAAATTTATTTGATTCAAATAACCGATTAATTGACTATTATCAATTAAATATTTACTTGAAGCAAATAATATTTATTGGAGTCAATTAAATTGTATTTGCTTCAAATACTGAAATTATTGGTTCAAATACAATTTAATTGACTCCAGTAAATATTATTTATTTCAAGTAAATATTGAATTGAGTCAATTAATCGTTTATTTGTATCAAATAAATTTTTTTTCAGTGATAATTGATTTGATAATTTTTATTTCAAAATTAATTAAAATTAAAATCTCTTAATGATTTTATATAAAATTAAGTAATTAAAATCATAATAAATAAAAGGATCTAAATAATTATTAGAGCCGTTATTAAATTCAGTTTCTAAATTTATGTGATGAAGTTCGCAACGTTTATAATCAACGATTGGAAGAAAAAATACTTTTTACCCAAAAAACTTCTTTATTTATAAAATTTTCTATTTTAAGTTGTTGATCAGAAAATATTGTAAATAATTTTTTATACAAAAATTTAAGTGGAAAAATATTTTTTCTTCTTAATCATTGATTAAAAAAATTGAGAACTTCGCTGTTTTTTAAATTTTATAAATTCTATAACAATTTCAAAATTCAAAATTTTCTAAAATTCTAAAAAATTCACAGATACGAATAAATAAATAAAAATAAAAGAAAAAATAAGAAAATAGTTTGTCATTTATAATTAATTTAATTAATTCTTTTTATAGTTTGATAGAGCTGTGAGACTCTTTGGTGAAGATTCAGCCGGAGTACAACCTGACGAGTTTTTCGGAATTTTCGAAAATTTCCTACAAGCCTTGGCCGAGGCTAGACAAGATGTAGAAAATATGCGAAAAAAAGTAGAAGAAGATGAGCGAAGGTCAAAACAAGAACAAGAGGTATGTTTTCTATTTAATGAATAAAGAGAACAGAAAAGAAAAAACCGTTTTTTTAATTATTTCAAAATATACTAATTGTGCTATATTTTTCAGCTAAAAAAACGCACTATGGAACGAAAAAATTCACGAGAAGGAATTCTAAATAGTATTTCTATCAATAAGAAGAACGAAGCAAATACAAATGGCCAAAACGATAATAAAGGAGAATTTGACGATTTGATATCGGCACTACGAACGGGTGATGTTTTTGGTGAAGATATCGCGAAATTCAAAAGATCGAAGCGTCGACCTGTTACACCGAGTAGTCAAGAAGTACGTAGACATAGTGCCCATAGAGAAGATTCACGAGAAAGGCACTAAAAACACCAATTTAACACGAACATATTTTTCGTTTCATCATTTTTTTTATAGTGTTTGAATCTCATATTGAATTACAATTAACAGTGATAATACATTTGTAGTTTACATTTAATTATCGAATTGAAATTTCAATTCCGTTTATTTCATGTATGAAATGGAAAAAATCATTCTTAGGGAGAAAAAAAGATTCCAATTTTGAAAAAAAGTGAAATGAACTTCTAGTGCCAAGATAAAGGTTGAAATTCTTTTTTTTTATTGAGGTGGAAATACCTGTTGATATTTCGGAACTATTCCATAGGCTGTTAAAGAGTAGATGAACTTGTATTTTCATTTTCTGTTTGTAAAGAAAATGAATCGAGCACAAAATGAAAAAAACGAGTTTATAAAATATAGTTGTTAAGCAAAAGACGTATCACATTGAATTTAAAAAGAAAAAAAAAGCTTTGGACTGAATTTAATATTGAAAGAATATTAAGAAGCGGAAAGATAAAGTAGATGAAGAAAATAAAAAAAAATATTAGAGATCGAGTGAATGTTGAATGACTCTGCGACTAAACGAATGTATTGTAGAGAAAATGCGAACTCTAGTTATTGCTCGTAAATTTTAGATTTATGTATAGAAAAAAACATTTAAGAAATAATTCGTATTGTTTTTACAAGAGAGAAAAATTATAAATTCGTGGGAACAAGAGAGACTATACAATTAAAAAAACACAATTCAAATTAGTGAGAATTTTTCTCCAAATCGAGAATTCAATCACGTGATAATTTAATTTTTGTATATATAGTCATTATGTACCTTTATACAATATCAGTAAGAAACTACGCAAAATTCATTTAAAATCTATTCATCATTTAAATATTTTGAAAATTAAGAATAGTTTTACGTTCAGAAAAATTGCTATTGACAAAAAAAACAATAGGTACAAAACTAAAAAAAAATTGTCTTGATGATAATGAAGAATAATTTGTCGCGATAAAAAAAACCAACATTCGAATAATTGATTCCTATATCAATTTAGTTATATAATTGTTATTTGATAGCGAAAGTTCAACAGAAACAAATAATCAAAAATGGCCTATAATTGATATTTTTAACAATTGATACAATTGTCAATTTAAGTCTGATTTTGTATTCTTTTATACGCGGGGTTGGTGTATAAAATTTGAAAACTGAGACTTCTTGCAGAATTATTATAATACAAATTTCCGAAATTTTTATCATTATATATATATATTATAAATATAGGTGTAGAGAGACTTCTATAATCACTGTAAAGAAGTCCATGTTTTGTATTTAAAGTTTTGTACTTTTGTAAATATTCGATATATTTATATAGTTACGTCATTCTGATAAATTCTTTAATTGGAATGTATAATCGATTAATATATTCCTGAACAATTGCTATCATATGTATAATTAATATATAAAAAATATATGTACGACAAATCAAAATGTATTTTTTAATTCTGATCCCTAATTATCAAAATAATTTCTTTATATTCAATTATCAATTCTTTAAAGAACTGGAAATTTCCAGAAAATAATTTTAATTTACTGTCAAAGTTTATAGCGAAAATCTATTCGATTGCGACAACAGGGTTGCCACAAAAAATTAATTTTGTTTTTCCTTGACTTTTCCCTGATTTCTAGACAAAATTTTGACTTTTTCCCTGACCCTAAAGAATAATCTCATTCATTCTAAAAATGCTTAGACACTAAAAAAAAACATTCTATTTACTTATGAATTTCTTTAGTTGAATTTCTTTAATTTTAATTAAAATTATTCTAAAACATCAATAAAGTCTTTTTTTAACAAATATTTAATAATTATTATACCATAGAAATTAAGATTTTCAACAAATTTCAAATTCAAACCTTTATAAAATTCAACAACTTATAAGACTATTATTAATTCGTTGCAGGAATTCAATTATTTTTACAAGTAATAAAATTCTTCGCAGAAATTCAATTATTTAAAAAATGTAATAAAATTCGCTTTAAGAATTAAATTATTTTCATAAATAATCAATTTCCTTACAGGATTTCAATTATTTAAAAGAAATTTAATAAAATTCGTTGTAAGAATTTAATCATTTTCATAAATAATAAAATTCTTGAAACAGAATTACGATTATTTTTAATACAGTTTTAAATAAATTCCTCGGAAAATGTAATTATTTTGAAAATTTTTCTGCAAGAATTAAATTACATTTCACAAATAATGAAATTCTTCGCTGAAATTCAAATATTTTTAAAATCTACTATTTTAATAAGTTGTCATTCACAAACGACGTCACGCTTTTTTGGACTGATTTTTACCCCCTCCCCCCCTTCGTCCCCCCACCCCTAGGAGTGTGACGTAGTTTGTGAACGACCCCTAAGTTCTCAAAAGAATTCAATTATTTAAACAAAATTTAATAAAATTCGTTGCAAAAATTGAATTATTTTCATAAATAATAAAATTCTTCATAGGATTCAATTATTTTTAATTCAATTTTAAGTAAATTCTTCGAAAAATGTAATTATTTTTAAAAATTTTATTAAAATTCTTTGAATTAATTCAATTATCAATAATTTTAAAAAAATTCATGCTATAATGCTTTTAATATTCAATTATTATCTAAAATTTTAACTGAAATTCATTTTTAAATCAATTTTTATTAAATAATTCTACGAGAATCCAATTATTTAAATACAATAATAAATAATTTATTGAATAAATGAATGTTTCTCAAAATTGATTTCACATAAAGAATTTTATCAACATAATTAAATTTTTTCGAAGAATTTTAATAAAATTTTGAAGAACTTCTCGAATTCAACATTTTTCGTGGAATTCGTTTAAAATTGTATTAAAAATAATTGATATTTATAATTTATTTTATTATTCATGAAAATAATTTAATCTCTGTAAAAAATATTATTATTTATCAAAATAATTGAATTATTGCAAAGAAATTTATAAAAAATTTGTAAATAGTTGAATTTCTGTGAAATTTTTTTTATTTATGAAAATAATTTAATGTTTGCTTAGAATTTTATTAAAATTTTTTTAAATAATTGAATTCTTTTGAAAAGTTTTATTAAAATAGATATTAAAAATCATTGAATTGGGAAAATTTTTAAAAATAACTGAAATTTTGGCAAGAATATTTTATAAATTTTTTTAAAATAATTGAATTTTGGAGAAGAATTTTTTTATTTTTGAAGATAATTGGAATTTTTTTAAATTTTTGAAAATAATTGAATTTCTTTGAAGAATATCATTAATTTTGAAAATAATTGAATTTCTGCAATCATTTGTTCTTCAAAATTCAATTTTTTTCAGTACTTTAATAAAAATCCCTGACTTTTCCCTGACCAATTTTACATTCCATGAATTCTTGACCTGTGGCAACCCTGGACAAGTAAATCTCGCAACTCTTTAATTTTATAATTTTTTACTTTTTTTTGTAGATATAAATTATTTAGGGTCAAAAGAATATTTTTTCAATTGCATTGGAGGACAATAGTTGAAAATATTTTTCAATATGGGAGATTTAACTTTAAAATATTAATCCATCTAATATTTAAACTAATTGGATATTTTTCCGAACTTAAAAATACGAATAAATAATTAAATGACTTACGAATAACCTGTATAGATATATTGACTCACCGTTAGCTGCAATTGAACTTCCTGATTTTTTTTCGTATTTGTTGATATAGGTATTTATTTGTTGATCCTAATTTGTTAATATATTTAAATATCCAACTGTCTCCAACCAATAAATACTTAAAATCAATCGGATCTTCCAAATTTCTGCAACATAATGAATAAGTAAAAATTATAATTATACCTATTTAGGAAAAAAGTAATTGTTTTGCATATTTTGAATGTAGAGGATTAACAATGAGAAATACCAACAATCGATAAAGCATTGTACTTTACTGGGAACTTACCTCTAAAGTGTGCAAAAGAGAGATTTTTATGATTTAATAATATCCCATAGAGTAGAGGTTATGTATCAACAATGAAACTCAAAAGAGAAAAAAAATTTTTCTTCAAGTTGATTATATTTATATTAATTATCTACAAAATAAAGCAAAATTGCAAGATCTATAAAAAAACGTCCGATATTTACCGCAGTTGGAACTAAAGATGGCGCGCGCAGTCAATCAAATAGCAGGACAGCGAAAGCACAAAGAAAATAAAACTTTTTTCGAGTTGCATTTTTTCATCTTATTCTTCCTCGACAATTATCAACAGCAATCTACTGCAACAATGCAAAAAAGGTCGATATTTACGTAACTGGTCAGAAAGACCGCGTAGCCAATCAGAAAGCGTCTCAGCGCACTCCCCGAATTACACATTTTGTATCAAGATTATTAATAATTATATTCAAACGATTCAAACATAACAAAATTTGAAACAATTGTTTCGTAAATATTTCCTATTGTCTACTAACTAACAATGATAATTGACAACACACGATAGAACACAATCACTTTCAGGTGAGTTAATAATGCGAATTCCTTCACGTGACACAAATATTGTTACATCGCAACAATTAAGATTTGTCTTTTGACAACTTGAAATATTCTTTTCAAGTTATTAATAATAGCTTTAATTATTAATGTTATTAATGCAAATGAATAAATTAACAATAGTTAATTTTTTTTATTTAATATTAATTTAATTAGTTAATTTGAATTATTAATATTAATTTAATTACTTAATTTGATTTAATAATAGCAATTATCAAAATAAGAACAGTAAATTGCAAGGAGTTAGGAAAAACAGTTGATAATTACCACAATTATAAGCGAAGACAGGGCGGCGAATGATTAAAAAAGCTCAGTGACCTTGAAAAGTGTTAAAAACAATTTCTTCCAGTTGCGCAGACCCTCCGTCATGAAGCGCCAAATGCGATCTGCTGCTGCTCTGTCTGTGATCTCTAATGTACAAATTAGGTTGATGCGGATGCATCTTTACCCTTGTTGTCTCACATTGAAGTTGATTTAGTCCTTGAGGATTGTCGAGTTAAATAATTTTTTTTTAAAAGGGGCCCACGTCCAATATTTCAATTAGACGAGGGCGCCGAGCACTTGGTCGGCAATCTTCGGGTTTATAGTTTAAAATATTTTTAAGTGTCTCATTTTTGTGTTCTTCGATTTGTTTGAAAAATTTAGTAGCTGAGTCGCGGCAGAATCTGCGAATACTAAGAATGTTAAGATCTTTGTGTAATTGTTCATTTGTGACGAACCATGGAGCATTAGTGATCATCCTCAATATTTTGTTTTGGATTACTTGAATTTTGTCGATGTGAACTTTTGCTGCTGCACCCCAAGTTGTGATACAGTAGGTCACGGCAGGCCTGATGATAGATGTGAGAATAAGTCTTTTGCAGTTCAAGTCTAAGTGAGGATTTTGCAGAAGTGGCTTCAGATTTGAGATGGCAGCAAGACCAATTTTCTTCATTTCGCATGTGTGTTTGTTCCATAGTAGTTTTCTATCAATGTGAAGGCCTAGATATTTTGCTTCGTTTGACCAATTAATGATCGCATCTTTGACTTCGATTTTTGCAGATGGTAACTCACGTTTTCTGGTGTGAAAGACTGCTTGCGTTTTTCCATTGTTAATTCCGATTTTCCATTTGTCCATCCATTTTACAATTTCGTCAAGTGATTTTTCAAGTCTGGATACCGTGAGTCTTTCGTTTCGACACTGGGAGATGACAGCTGTGTCATCCGCAAATAGGGCAATTTCAGAGTAGTCATTTTTTGGAATATCGTGCGTGTAAAGGTTATACAGAATGGGGCCAAGAACAGAACCCTGAGGAACACCAGCCAGTATGGGGTGATTTGAGGAGAAGCTGTCCTCCACTTTTACTTTAAAACTTCTTTTTTGCAGAAAAGAGCGGACAATTTTTACCAGGTTTGTGGAGATCCCTGCTGCATTCAGTTTGTGGATAAGTCCATGATGCCACACCTTGTCAAACGCTTTTGCTACATCCATATATGCTATTGCCGTAAAGTTCTTTTCGGCAAATCCTTTGTGGATTAATTCAACGAGTCTGAGAGTTTGTTGGTTTGTGGAATGACCCTTGCGGAAACCAAATTGCTCGCTCGGTAGTAGATCCAGTTCCTCCACTTCTTTCAATAATCTGGATAAAATTATGCGCTCAAATATCTTGGAGAAGGCAGGTAGAAGACTAATTGGTCGGTGATTTTCTGGAAACTTCCAGTCCTTGTCTGGTTTAGGAATGGTGATAATATTTGCCAATTTCCAGTCGGCTGGGAAATAGTTTAATCGTAAACTAGCGTTGATGATGTTCAGAAGCTTGACCTTGGCTTTACGAGGCATTTCCTTTATGGTTTTGTTGCTTATTAAGTCGTTGCCAGGAGCTTTCTTGTGTTTAAGTCTTCTGATTATGATTTCTATTTCTTGAAGAGTGGCTGTGCTGATAGGA